ATATATATAATATATAAAAATTGATTAACCATGCTAAGACCCATAATGTTTATTTTTTAACATATATTAATTTCATATATAATTTATTGAACGCGATTATAGATTTAATCAATATTAAAGATTGTTCACATTTAATACATTTGGTATAAAAAAAAAAAAAAAAAGAAAACTGTACAATGCAATAATTTTGCCAATGTAATTGTTAATCATAACAATCTTTCTCTCAGTCACACATTATTCTCATTCATTAGAGCATTCAAATATACTTACAACTTTCTCGTAATTTCTACATGTTTTTTAGTAACTATTATACATATATAGTTATTTCTGTCAACCATTTTAATGTTTCTTTCAATGGAATTAACTTTTAACGGGTGTGGAAGTATTTTCTTATGCATTTGTCGTTCAGTAAAATGCATACAAGAGCATAAGGAACGTACAGAATCCAACGATGACTCCAAGAATTAATGAATCTCGTCTTTTCCTTAAATTAATTCTTTGTATCAGACTACTCACTGCTGGAAATCGATTAGAAATGTCATTAAATCTAGTCTGTATACGTTTGAATGCTTGTCTTTGAGTAATTAAATGTTCTCGTGTTTCCATCGCTATACTTATTTGATCATTGATCAAGCGGTCAGAACTACAAATTGAAATGATAATATAAATATTAGTAGAATAAATTCCTTACGTAATTACATGTAGCATGTGTATGTAGATTTACTTACTTATGAATATGTTGATTTTCTTTCAAATACATTTCTCTACGGTTTAATCCAGATGTTGTTTTGTAATTGCTAAAAAAAAAACAAAAAAGCGTATTATACAAAAGCATTGTACATGAAACACATTTATAAAAGAAAAAAAATAATGTGTGATGCAGCACATACTCTATTTCCTTCCGTACACTACCCAAGAGATCTTCACGATCTTTTCTAATAGCAAAATTGTTTCTAATTTTACTAAATTCCAATTTATAATCTTTTAATATTTCCTTATGACGTTGCATGGTGTGTAACATAGCTGCTCCATTTGGTTGCAATTCGCTCATTTTCTCATTAACGGTAAATAACTTAAAAAAAACAATAAAAAATATTTACAATAATATAATACTTTGTATACACAATAACAAATGACAAATTGCTTACTTTAGTTAATAATGTTTCTATTTCCAAGGCCATGTTTTCAAACACATGTTCTTCATCTAAAAGTGGAACCTCGTCTGGTGTTACATTTTTAGAACGTGTGTTTACACCTAATTTGCTAAACGCTACAAGCTTTGCATCGATTTCATTTTCTAAGTGTCTCGCCTGCTTTCTTAGATCTATAAATAAATTTCCTTTTATTGTAACAATTTGTGTGGTCGTGGAAGATAAAAAATAATACACAATTTAACATATATCATAATGCAAGGACAATAGAAACTGTAATTTGTTATAAAAAGTCATATGTCACCTTATATATTTATTATATTATTAATTATATATATATATATATA